GGTTACCGTAATACTGAGGAGATCACCCCGTCTCTTCACTGTTGCTTCTTGTTAGCACCTACCCTCCTATACCAATGACACAGTCCTCTATATTTGGTTATCTTTCAAATAGTTCTTCAAGTAGCTTTTTTCATTGTTTGTCTATTGCAAATAGGAACATGTGTGTTTTGTTATGGAGTATGCCCCTGGAGGTGATCTTATGATGCATATACATGCAGATGTCTTCTCAGAACCAAGGACAGTGTAAGTATACTCCTTTGTAAGGGTCAGAGCAAGAAAGGGGGTTTTTGGTTGTCAGCTGTCAGCATTATGGTATCTGAGCTTTAACAATGGTCATTTTGTTGAGCTGCTGGGAAAGACACTTTCTTGTCACGGTCAATCTGTCAAGGAAACCTTGTTTAATACCGAGGTGACCTGCAATGCATTTGCGTCCCGTCCAGAAAGGGAATGGGGATGACATCACTCCTTAACACTTAATGCTACAAAATATGAGATGAGCTGTATGTGAGTTAGTCTCAAATGCAGGAATTGTAATCTGATTCTTTAAAGAATGTTGTGCTCATCCTTTTGATACACATAGTCGTTTCCTTGATCTATTTTGCTGACACATGTAAAACTGTAACATATGAGATTTATTTATGTAAAAGCCAAGCCATTTTTTTTTTAAATGAAATGTTAATGTGTTCTTTTCAGCTTTTACACATCATGTGTAGTGCTAGGACTGCAGTATCTCCACGAACACGAAATAGTTTATAGGCGAGTACCATTGCTTAACATTAATTTTTGTTGTCTCTAATGTCTTTACTTCGACTGGCAGACATCATGATAAAAATGGTATAAACATATTTTAATTCTTTCTATGTGGAGAGGTCAAAGCAGTGTTTATTTTTACAAAGTCTTATAAAAAACCTCAGAGTAGTGAGATTATTTCATGTTTTGTTTCAAGGAATCTGGGTAATGGAAAATCAAAGTCTTGTTAGAGAAGCATGAGATAAATTGAAGGAGTGGTTATTATTGTGATTACAATTCCCCATGTTGTAGTTGTTGTTATTGTTATTGTTGTTATTATTATTATTATTATTATTATTATTATTATTAGTGTATTGGTTAATTCTCTAAGATTGATTACTATTAATGCGCAAAGGTCATTTCTCATAAGCACACCCTATGTTATTGGAGGAATTACTTTTGTAGTCATACGCAGTAGTTGCAGTGTGCTTAAGATGAGGCATTTCGCATCGTAGGGATTTGAAGCTTGACAATTTATTGCTGGATTCTGAGGGTTATGTCAAGATTGCTGATTTTGGTTTATGTAAAGAAGGAATGGGTTTTGGAGCAAGAACAGGCACCTTCTGTGGAACCCCTGAGTTTTTAGCGCCAGAGGTAAGTTCACTGTTTAATCGGAAATGTTTTCCGGTCATTTGTTCATAAGTTGAATTTAAGGTTGTCTGAACCCACAACGTAGGGCAGGTTTGATGTATAAGGATTCAGATGTTCTTTTGATAAGACATAGTTTTTACTTTTTACTCAAAGGTTCTTACAGAGACGTCGTACACGCGAGCTGTAGATTGGTGGGGTCTTGGCGTGCTCATATTTGAAATGCTGGTCGGAGAGGTAAGCTCCCCTCATAAAAAACACCAACATAGTGTTGAAAGAAGAGGTCTTGACAATTCACCGGCATTTTTTTTTTTTTTATTTGCGAGAGTAAAGGGTCGGTGGACATTTTCAGTGCTAGTATAAATGAATGTTGACTTCACGAACAAGTTGACAAACTCAGAGGTAATTTAGGAGGTTTGGAAATGCCTCCGAGGGAATTCTCCGCCTTGTTTTCTTAGTATTTCAAAGTGCAAGATTGGTTTTCAGCTAAAGAGTTTTGGGAATGCCCAAGCGGTTTTGTGAATAAGTTGTTTAAAAACTGTATCATCCCTTTCTTTTCTAGTCACCGTTTCCGGGAGATGACGAAGAAGAAGTTTTCGACTCGATTGTAAATGATGAGGTTCGATATCCAAGGTTCCTTTCAACAGAAGCTATAGCTATCATGAGAAGGGTGAGTATAGATTGTTATTTGTATTAGACGTGAAACGTTGATTCTTCCTGCTTGTTAACTCGAGTCCTCATATTTTGAGTTTTAATTTGACATCAGTGCTATGCTCATCTTATCTTTCTGGTTGTTAAGTAGATCCTCTGATAGCGTCTTTGTTTTGGTGTTTCTCTTGATAATTTTCTGTTAAACAGCAAATTGTCCGCGACTAGATATAACTTTATTTTATCCGTAATTAACCTTTAGAAAAAGAAAGTATGACAAAATTACAAATTTGTAATTGATAATTGTTTTTTTATTCCATCGTGTGTTTGACTTTTTGTATTTTGCGCGGGCTGGGGCAATTGTGTTGTATTTTAAGTAGTATATGTAGCTTTATTCTATCAGTTTGTTTTACTTTTGATAATTTGTTTTTGTTTTTAACTTATTTAAGTTATTGAGGCGCACTCCTGAAAGACGGTTAGGAGCCAGTGAAAAAGATGCAGAGGAGGTCAGGAAACAGCCATTCTTTAGGGTAATTAATGATCTTTCCTGTTTATTTGAACTTGTCTGGTAAACTGGGAGCAAACTTGGTGAAAAATACGAGTGGAATTACACCTGTGAACATTTTTAGTAAGGTTATGGTTAAACTTTTAAGTGACTCCACGAGCTTGAAGTTTGGTTCTAATGCTTGAGTATAATGTCCATTTATTTTCTTCACAATGGTAAATTCTGATGTCAAATGGTTACTTTTCGTGTCTTGTTGTTAGGATATGAACTGGGATGATCTCCTCGCTCGAAAAGTTCGACCTCCCTTTGTTCCAAGTGTGGTATGTTTTTGTTTAGTATGCTGAACGAGTGAACATTTGCTTTTGCAACATATATCGTATACAAAACTTTTGTTTTGAGTCTTCTTCCAGTTCCACCCATAATAAAGATGTATAGACTGCTTCCAATGGTTTTCCGTAATCCTTCTTTGCGAATGTTATAGAGATAATAGCTTGATCGAAACCATATTTCTAGTCTAGAAGGCCTTCACCATCACATATTTATTTATCATCTTAATTATTGTCTTTTTACGCATTGTGAAATACTCCGAGCTGTGTTTCTGAGTTGGAACGATTTATTTGTTCTAAGTGTGGTTTTACTGTCCTTGATAACCTAACAAGCTTCGCTGCAATGCGAAGCAGTTGAAGTATAATGCCAGAAAACATAATGCAAGTTCTGATCTTTCTTTACAGAGACACGCGGAAGATGTGAGTAACTTCGATGAAGAGTTTACCTCAGAAGAACCTGTTCTGACACCACCAAAGGAAGCCAGACCGTTGAGTAGTGAAGAACAGGTGAGAATCCTCTCGCAAGTTTTTAACTGCTGGTAAAGACGAAAGAAAAAGACGCCGCAGTCCATACGTGACTGATTCAGGAAATTCTCTTCAGTTCTCATTTTACTCAGTAGTGAGATAAGAAGTCTGAACATCTGAAAGCTGATGCTCCTGCCCGGGGACTCAAGATTTCTCTGTTAACCAATTTGGTGTGATATCAAAAAAAAAAAAAAAAAAAAACCCTAACCCATAGCTGACAATTTACCAATTTCTTAATTCCTGTCTTAAGCAGTGTATCCAAATAGTCTGGAGAATGTAAATATCATTCCTGAGAACTACAGGAACGAGTCTAATGCCTTTACGTTGGGAAGTCGGCCCGTTCGGGCACGTTCCATTGTTTTCCTTCTGCAGGACCTCGAGAATGAAGCAGTTTGACTCCCCCACCCCAGCCCCTCTCCTTATTTTTCACCATCACTCACCCCCGTAGTACAAATTTCTTTCTCTCCCCGGCCTTCCACTGCCATTAAAATCAAATCTGGCGGCCATTTTTCGCTAAGAAAATGCCGAGCACTAACTCGCCCAAATTAAAAAAAAAAGCTTATTTTTAAATGTGCAATATCTTTCTTTTCTTGTCTAGGTATTGTTCGCTGATTTCAATTACACGGCCGACTGGTGCTGAGAGAATTCAAGAACGAGCGATTATTTTATAGAGTAGTTTAGCTAGTGATGGATTTTCATTTTTACAGTCCCCAGCAGCGGTTAGCTCAGTTGTAAAGCAGTTTTATGAAAGAGAAAAGTGCAGTGATTTTATTTTTAAGTTAACGGGCTTGTATTCTCACTTTACTGTTTTCCTCATCTCCGCAGATAACGTGAAGTGGAGTTTGGGATGTAAATATAAATGTAACATAAACGTTGTCGCCAATCTTTACACTAAATTCCGGCTGGTTTGACTCTATTTTTGAAGAAACAATTGCGCGCTCTCTGAGAAATTAACAGAGGTCGTTTTACTGCTCTTTGTATCATAACTTGAAATTACTCGAAGAATGTCCAGAACTTTCGCGGGATTTTGATACAACATTCCTCCTTTGAATCTGTTTTCAAAGACTTGCAGCTTGTCTAGAATGTTTATATTATTATTATTATTATTTGTGGCGGGGAGAGACCACCGAATGAAGGCATCAACTAACACAGTCCATCTCGCGCACGAACTGAAAGTAATAAAATTTCACTTTCTGCCTAAGTTTCTCGATACTATTGATTTCTGAATTACAAGGTGGTCGTTAGTTTTTGCCCTCCTTTGGTGGAAGAGAACTGAAATTAGAAATGATCTTATAATAAAACTTGTACATAATAAGAAATTTCTCTGCCAGGAGATTGTATATCATTTATTTTACAGTATCAATTTGAAATTAAACCTTGACGGATTTGAGTTAACGGTCGAAATATTTGGTTTATATTACTAATAAAGAGGTTATAGTTTGTTTTGACTTTCCTTTCAAATCGACGCGAGAGGTGCTGCATTCAGTATGTGTGGCTCGTTTGGATAATAAACTCCTGTGAATTCTTTGAAATGTGTATCTTCGCTGTGCTTTGTGTTGTGTATTCGCTGTGATTGTCGATAGCAGATGAATTATTAATCGATTGACCCTTTGTTTGTCTGTGATTGTTTTAGAATACTAGCGCCACCCTAACAACGAACCAGTCGCATGCAAAACTAAAATCAACCGCGTCTTGGTCACTTGCACTTCGGGCGGTGCGTTTGTTTTTATCATTAATTCTGTCAGGTTCCTCGATCGAAAGGGAATCGAGTGCGTTTCACGCTGTTTTGTGCACTGTGCATCCGTGGCAATTTTTATAATTTCTGCCCGACTATCGGCTCCGGTGAATTTTTCAGTTATTTTTTTACAATTTCGCCATATTGGTAAATTCTGTCGAAAAAAATGAAATGAAATTATTCGGTGACTCCATTGCATTTAATAATATAAAGAAGAGTTGATCTAGCTACACTTTTATAAAGGTTTACGCCTAACTGAAGGAGATAAAGAGCGAAAGTTAAGGTGGCTCTGACCCCTATTCCCCTCTTCTCACAAATCTGGATGAGTGCCACCGAAAACAAGCTTTGTAGTTGGTGATCATGAACTTTATTCTCATCTAAACGTTTGACTCAGGTGATCTCGTAGGGAGAAATTAGATGCTTATCACTCCTGGGAGTTCAAGATTGAAAACTGTCTGAGCGACGTTGTCGCGAAACTTGTCGATATCAACTGCGTGTTCTCCACGAGTTTTAGCTAGAGTACGGTTAGAAAAAGGCAGAAATGGACCTACTTTCTAAATAATTACACAGCAGCAGATACATTCGTTGACGAAAGAATCCGAAACTACTGCTCCACGTTTGGTGTGCCTTCTTCTCCGTTGTATTTGTGAATTACTACGGCAACAACTCTGTTCGCTTTCATTACATTCCTCCGCATCGCTATGCGTTCGGTAATACACACTGCCGCTCGTAATGGCCCGAACGCGTGACAAAGAGTCTGATGATAGGTGGGCGTCACAAGATTCGTTTTGATTGGCTTCTCTGATAAATGAAACCTGCCGCCGACTAGGCGTAATAGCCCCGTGATGACTCTCGCCCGGTGCATGATCGTTACTGAATGACAAACAGGTGGGTCTCTGTGATTTCTCTTCTGACCGAATGTATTGCTCTTCGCTATTACTAGTTGAAAGACTAGATTCGTCACAGGGTTTTCCCTCATTTTCCTCTTCATTATTCTCAACTGATTCCCGTTTTTCATCATCTGTACCCTGTAGAATTCTCTGGTCCCCAGTGCCCTTCGATTGGTCGTCGTAGAAGGAGTCTAAACTCCGTTCTCTTGTTTCTTGTTCGTCTTCATTGATAAGTTGTGTACTGTCAGTAGCTCCGTAGGAACTAGCAATACTTTCGTCAGTCATTATACGAACTTTCTTCAAGCTAAAGAAAAAAAATCGAGGCATTTTGTTAAGAAAAGTGCATGACAAGCAGTATCAACGAAGACAGTATACTCCGGTACTCGTTAAGACTAAAGCTCCAGCAGAAACATTTTTAAGCTATAGCAGTTCTGATAAGACAATTAGCTTTCAAGTTAGAGGCATTGATTGATATTTTTGGGCATATATTGAGGTATTTGAATTCCTAGCCCTTACAATTTTTTCGATTTTCTCAGCTTTTAACGTTACAAATTGAAACAGTTGTCTTCCTGAAAATGGGAAGAAAAACTACAATAGCTGCATTGAAAATCGACACTCACGAATTCAGTGACAAGACAGTAAAAATTTCGTTACTAGAAATACTGAACTTACATGAGACACACAACCTGCAAGATGGCCCCGTAGAGATCGAATTAATTAATCTAATAACATTTTTAAACCAGATGCACAAGTGCTGAGAGACACGCGATTATTGTGGGAGCAAATGACACAAAAATAGTTCGTAGCAAATAAACAAAACTTCATCAACTCGTCTTGCTGGCAGGTCTCATAACTATTACAGTTCGATTTGTTACTCGTATTGATTGGTTTCTCATCAAGACTGGTTTGGGCACTACAAAAACAGCGGGAAATCCTCACGAAATGGGATTATCTTTATTTTTAAGAGCCTATCAGTTGTGGCATCTATTTGGATTTGACCGGGGTCTCCTCCTTTTCAACCGCTGGACAGAGGAACGAGGACTCTAAAAACGAGATTGATCACATTTGTTTTGTTTCCTTTATAACAAACATGAAATCAAGAAAAGATACACAGGAGAAGCCCAACCAAGTTTTTGTGAGACGAAAAGCAGCTGAAAAAAAACTGGAAATCACGGGGAAAAAGTATGACTGTGGACTACCTGCGATCAAATGTAGAAACAGCAATTCCATCCGGCAGCCCCAAGAAGGGCCGGGATGACGAAAGGTTTGCACAAAATTGTAGTGCTGTAGAAGTAGAGCTGTTTACATTCCTAATGTGCCTCGAACCATAGTTAGTTGAGGGAACTAACCAAGTTCGCAAACTTGACATCTTAATTAAATACTTCTCCAAAATTTGGCCTTGGTTATTTGAACTGATATTTTACGACAAAAATGGTAAAACAACGAATCCTAAATGAATGTAGATGCAACCACCATTGGTCGATTTATGTGAGTCAGCAACTGACATCTGACACATCTGGACTCTTGATAACGAAACCGCTGCAGTGCTTTCGGCCTGAAAGATTCAGTTTAATTTTTGTTTTTGAAACACGGAACTCAGGCTTTGAAAGGAGCCAGTAATTCTGAAATCTGAAGTGATGTATAATTTAAATTAACCGGTTGACATTAGCTATTGAACGAATCAGTGGCTCGCTAAAAAATCGTTGCTTACCTCTAGCATAACCGCTCTTGTTTGTCGGTGAGTTGACCTCGCGCATTACCACTCTTCTTTGTCGGTGTGTTGACCTCTTGAGAGTTTCCTGACAAATTTCTCTGCTGTAGGATATGAAACTTCTCGTCAATTTTAATATTTTGCATCTAAATTTCTACAGATAACTCGTCTGAGATTTTATCCCCGACATTTGCCTTTGCCACAGTGTTCATTTCAACATGACATTACCCATATCCGCTGAATCTTTAACGAGAACGCCTACTTGACACAATTCCACAGTTATGCGACTGTGCACAGAGACACGTTTTCTACACGAAAGAACCTTGGACTACATTGAAATTTCGAAAACTGATTGCGTAATATTTACAACAAACACGTTGGAACACTACATTGTGCAAGCTTATGATTGATTTTGTTAACAGGCTTTGAAAACGTAATGTGTCTCCGCTGTCACACAACAGAAGAAATAGAAGCGAGGTTTTTTAGGAATCACAATAAATGATGATTTATTCTCTGAGAGCATTCCAATGAACTGTGGAACTGTCACTCCGTTGGGAATGATCGTGAACAATAAAATCAATCACTAATCGAAACTAAAATCGCTGAAATAAGGTATGTAAATTCAGTGAATGTTCTCTTACCTTATTCGACAGAGCTAAATCTCGGTATGGTGGAAGTCACGAACCTTGTTTAGATTCCCATGTAAACCCTGGTTATGGTGTATAATAAGCGGACATTGCCGTAGATAAAGCGGCTGATCGCCCGCAGAGCAGGCGTAATTTTGGCGAGCGAGTGCTCAGTATTTCCTAAATTGAGGCCGTCATCTTTGATTTTAATGCTAACGGAAGGCTGGGGAGAGAAAGAAATTTGCACCAGCGGGTGAGTGATGGTAAAAAATAAGGAGGGGGTGAGGGTTGGGGAGTGAATATTACGGGTCTTTTCGACCCTTCCATCATCATCGATTCTATCTCCAACATTAATACATTAGACATGGCCGATTGAATAAACGATTGCGCACTTCGTTCCCATGGTTTTTTCCCTTACCATGGGGTGGGCTGGAAAGGGAAAAATGCCATGGGAACGAGATCGCTTCGGGCTCGTCTTTTCCCAATCAACGATGAATTAATTCAGGTCTAGGAAATAATTACATACTTTTATGTAGACTAAGGCAGCTTGTTAAAAGAGCATCCAAACGTCATTCCCCTATTAATTGGAGCATTTTATGTAGGGTTGCTCGCCGGGGCTAGTACAAGTCGATCAAATCATACGTTGCCCAGCTAACTTAGGACTAGAACATGAACTAGTAGCTAGGATCGAGCCTGTAATACTCGCTGGTCTTTCTAAAATCTCACCTCAGTAATATTATCATATCATGGTCATGACTTGCCTCCCTCTCAACAAACCAGAAAAAATACTTGCACTTAGAGAAATCATATTGTCTCAATGTTTAATGCGAGGATAAAATGTTTCTAGTACACTGCAGCTAAGAGGTGTTCAAACACTACGTCTTCATTGGTCAGCGGCGAGGGAATACTCCTCGGGTTCTTTAGCCTGCCGGCTCTCCACTTCCAACATCCTCGCACTCGACATTGTTCGGCCAATCACAGACGAGTGTGGCGGAATTGAACTTAAGTCCCGCAGGACAAGACATTTCATGTGTGGTACCCGCCACATCACACATTATAAAACCAAAGCAGTTATCAGGATTTGCGTGCACCCCAGCTGCGTGACTTTGACAGAAATCTGAAAAGAAAATAAGGCTGAGTGAAAAAACGAATTCTTCTGCCTTAACTCCCCACCAGAAGTTAGACTGAAGTGTAAGAAATGACGTCCAGATGTGGCTGGGGATGATTTTATTCTTTTCATTCAGTCTTTTTTTCTTTCCTTTGTTCGTTCTTTCTTTCTTTCTTTGTTTCAATTTTTTTTCCTTTTTTTTCTTTTTTTTTTTTTTTTG